TATAGCCTCCTTCTTTGATATTGGACATCCATGTTATGGTCAATTGACACCTGTCAAAACATGGTATCTGCTGACCAGTATCACCTGACCACATCGTGGGCTCAAGTTTTGAGCTCATCAAGGTAATGTGGTTTTTTGAAGTTGACTGTTGACCAAGATCTGGTTTTCTATTGGAACACAGGCTCATGTCAGGTTAACTTGTTGTAAATGGGTGGGGTTATTTGGAAGCCAGTTGACACTAACCCAGGATTAAAAGTTAACAGAAGTATAAATATTTATTGTACAAGGTCAAATGTTTTGTTTTGTGTATTTTGAGATTATTCAAACTCAAAACAGAAGGCCACACAATATAGAGAAAACCTCATTGCAAAGTTACAAAACTAAAATCAAAATTCTCGCTTAACCTGGGTTATATTAACTAGGCTTTAAACAACCCAGCCAAGGAGCTCCGCTTTTAGGCTTGGCTAAATCTATATATTAGCCATAGGTGTGTTGCCTGTAGAACTATCAGTGTACCAAGTTTCAATGGTCTCCGCTGCAAATTGACCATCATGGTGATCTTATTTTAACTACTGTACATGTATCTATAAACTTGATGTAATATTAGGTTGAGTGTGTGACATCATCAGTTCTCTCATTTGCATATTTCATACATTTTCAAACTCAAGTATCCCCAGAACTAATGCAGATATTTATTTTGGTGAACTTCCATCAAAATTCTGCTTTTTCCTGGGTTAGCTTAATCGGGCTTTGACCAACCCCACCCAAGAGCTTAGCTTTTGGGCTCAGTTAAATCCACATATTACACCTAAAAATTCAAGGGGTAAAACTTTGATCATACATGTAAGTAGCACTTAAACGACTTGGTACTAAATATTACTACATATTAAATGATTAGATTTTTTCATTAAATAGTAACTAAACAAGGACGTGGCATACATCACTGTAGACCACAGAAAAGCCCTATTAATAACTAACCATACAGGATCTTAGAGAATCATTCTTACAAGATCTTAAAAGGCCTACCACAGATCCTTGAAAAAAGAATCTTCGGAAGAATCTTCAAAGATTCTGGTAACAACTATAAAGATCCTTAAACGTCCTTTGCTACAATTCTTAAGGATCTTGATTAAGATCATCATAGAGATCTTTATAGATCTGTGAAAGATTTTCACCAAGGATATAAGGAACATGTATTTGTACCTATTATTGGACACTTTTGTTTCAATGCATCCATTCTGCCAGGAAGAGGAGCCCCCTTATTTTTCTTCCATTTTTCTTCCAGTTAGAGTTCAGGATCATTATATGGATTGGATAAACTACTAGCCCTGTTTTATTTCATTTTAGCTGTACAATGTACCTTTCAAGAGAGTATTTGTGTGATGCAAGTTACAGTGTAGCTTTAGTTAAAAGATAATTATCAGACATCAAAACCTATCATTCGATGCCTAAATGTTTGTCTTATGAGGGTTTGTTTTCATATGTACATCTGTAAGCTCACAATAACAACAAGAGATGTCCACTAGCTCATCTGAAGAGGTGGTAAGTGGCTGCTTGTTAGTTTACAGAAGTATTTTTACAGATAGCATTTCATTTAAAGGCTTTGAAAAACCTTGTGCATGATTGTAAATTATTTTGTCAATAGAAATAAATAAATCAACTACATAGGTTCTGTCCAATAATAGACGCGAATTTATTTAATACCTTGCATAGAAAGAGTACTCAACTAAGTGTAACAGTTTTAATCTGAAGTGTGCTACATGTACAAAATTGAATATTTGGTTATGATTAATAGTCTAATTATATTAAAGAAAAGATAGATATATTAAACAGAAGATTAATTTATGTGGAAGGATTTTTAAACCCCATTAGTTTGCTCATTTATTTGCGCCAATTTACATTCCTCAATTTGTTGGTTTGATACTTTGACTTTCTAAATTTGCATTGCAAAGGTAAAACTTGGCCTTATTTACAAAATCTTACACAGCTACAGATTTTTACAAATCAGGTCAATTTTCAGAATTACATGTTGTGCAACATGTTACTTGTTATTAAAATAAATCGCCTTGTTACCATCAACTATTTAACGTATTATACTGCCTTCACACCTACATTTTTAAACCCTCTGTACATTCTTTGTAACTCCTGCCTTGAAAATTTGGTATTTGACATCAGCTCATCAATGCCCTCTACTCGTACTCCAAAATGTAAACTAGAATCCCCACTGTCATGATCTATAACGGATGAAAAGTTTCGACTGATGAGAATGGATAGCTAGACAATAGGTGGGTTCACACTGGACATTCAAGTGTACTTGAGGTGAATTGTGTGTGAACTGGTATTATTTCACTTGACTGATTGCACTTAGTAGCCACGGAAACCTAAAACCATCAAAGGGCCGAAGTGCACTCTCAAGTAAGGTCAAAACCTTCCTTGATAGTGCACTTATCCAATGAAACTGTTATTACTGAAGTACCAATCATCTAGAGCCCTAAAATTTAGTCTTGCATGTAAGCAAACAAGCAAGAATTCCTGTTGTCAACGACCTTGCTTAGTATTTTAATTTTGTGTGCAAGTGTGACATTAATAGACACTCATCTGTGACTGATAATAATCACGACCTCAATTTAATACAAGTTCTGTTTTATATCCCTTGTCTAAGATACGCCAATTTTTCTTGAACTCCTCCGCCACAAAGCTAATCCAACCCGTTCTACTACACTTGCGGGAGTACTTGTTGAATTGGTTGAAATTCTGGGGTTTATCTTAGAAAAGCAGTATATGAAATCTGTGTATTTGCCTCAAAGTTAATACCGAGTACAGGTTATGTACATGTACATGTAGGTACACTGACAATAACTAACTGTTGTCACTATCTTTCCTAACCTTACTTATTAACTGACAATAGACCACTTTTGAATTCTCTGTATTGGACTGGAACTAAATTACAACTGAGGCTACAGCAGAGGGTTTTTTCAAAAGCAATTTTAATGATTATCTCCCATATGAACCTCCATTGCAAGCTAAGCTCCAGTCTAAAACTGAAAATATGAAAACTGGTCTGTTACAAATTCACAAAAATAACTTCATAAATATCAATAAAATTCAAAACAATTAGTGCTCTGTAAGTAACAGGAAAAGATAGAGCTCTAGCGAAAAGTGTATGCATGTTTGTACTACATGTAACAGTCAATACTTTCAGACGTTCACGCTACAGTACACGTGTAATAGATGCACACCTTTGGAAACACATTAATTTTAGAACATATTGTACAAGGTTACTTGGCTAAAAAATTTCCTTAGAAAACAAATTATCACCCAAAATCAAAATTTCAGAGGTTAAGGTATAACTTAAGAACTGATTGTGAAGTGCTCATAAATAATTATTACAAATGCAAAGTAATAACAAGGGTGCACAAAAGAGATTGGCTGGCTCTTTAAGAGGTTTAGGTCTATACATTTTCATAACTGCGGGAGGACTTTTTGAAATGTTTGCATTTTATAGACAAAATTAATGTACACATCTACACAAAAAAATATTATTAGACTAACATAGACACAAGAAATATAATACAGTCTATACTGTATATCAAAAAAGACACTGGAAATTCCAACAGCTGTAACAGCTGTCAAATATTTTGGTGCTTACAATTAAAAAATAAAAGTAATTAGTTTAGGTACAGGCTCTGAAAACTGATAATTAAAAAACTAGATGAAAATTACCTCAGTTGAAAAAGTCTAGTTTATAGTATAACCAATTTAAAGATTATTGAATGCCATCCTAAAATGCTTAGATAAGGGCTTGAAATTTCGACTTAATGCAGGTACAGGCCAAAAGACAAACCAATTCTAAGCAGAGGGATTTGACTTAGATGTAACATTTACATAATTACTCACATTTCCCTCATCTAGCAATGATGTTAAATTTTACTGAAGATACATGTGGAAATATGAGCCTGGAAAAAATCTCAATCGTCTTAGATACAACTAAAGTTCATTTATAATTTAACATACACATAGGAAGAACAAAATTGAATTAATTTGTTGAAGAAAAGTCACTGGATATGCAAATGAGCCTCTGCCTTGGTAATGGTGCTTCAGATGCAAAACCACATGTAAACAGACAATAAACACCACAAAGTAAGACAGTTTTTCCTGCGAAGTGGAAGAATAATTGTTTGGCAAAACAACTGTACATGTATTTGTTTACTTGTAAAATGTACTGCTGAAATAACATAAATTTTTGGAGAAAAGTGAAAATTAGTCAGCCTTGGGTGGGGAAACTACCTCTCCAATATAAAAATGATAGATGGAAAACGTAGGTCTGCACAGTCTAAGGACATGGCTAAAGAGCTGGTCGCACAGGGGTAAATTCGTGATGCGTGATTAGCTGATTTTATTTTCTGTGAAACGTGAATTTGGGAAATTATTCTTCGTCATCTGTCACCTGAAGGTTTTGTGTGACTCATGAAGAACTTGAATTTCTAACCAGTATTTGTGATTTCACCACTCTATTCTTTGTGATTTTGAGACGCAAATCCCCTGAATGGTTAGAGTCATCTATCAAGAGGGACTTGGGTATGCAATTTGCAATATAGAGCGTACATAGCCTTCTAGGATTCTGCTTTCTTCAAACACTCTTTCTAGTGTAAGAACAGGTTATTAAAAAAGAGCATCTTGCTTGCTTATTTTCTTGATTCAGGTAAACGAAATTTTTATATCTGTGATTCTTTATTTTTTCCATTCGTGAACCATAACAGAGACACCCTGTACGACCCTCGCTAAACTAAGAAACATTGTTGCTCAAAAATTCGAACAGCAATAAATCTTTGCCTCAGATCCCTTAATCTAAATCTCAATAAATCTTAAAAACAAAACTTGCCAAATGGATGCTAAAAATGTTTTTGAACCAAGGAACAAAATTAATGTTATCCATGCATGTTTAGCGTGTGAATTAAATGGGAATAACCTGTTTCTACAACAGCATTCTCTAGATTAGCCAGATCTTAAAGACGCAAATGTAAAGCAGACTTGAGCTAACGAAATTGCTAAAACCCTGGATATTTAAACTTACATATAAACCTCTGCAATATTTATATTAGGCTAATAACCATAACAAACGGATTATGAGCTTTGAGTTAAAATTGCCATCATCTATAGTTTATTTGTATCTCTTGTGAAGTGCACGAATAAAATGACTTTCAATATAAGCAAAATATATCTATATATCAAATAAGCTAATTACCTAGTAAGTCATTATCATATTGAAAGTCTAAGCATACGAACACGTACAAAGCTTGTCTCAGTTTATACTTGTACATGTAAGCTTAAATAAGTATATAGCTCTGGAAAAAAGTTAGGTGGCCATAAAACCCACGATAACGTCTTATGCTCTATACCCCAATTTCCCCCTAACGAAACGTTGCCACTGAGTTTTTCCAAGGTGAGACTGGGAATTTTATACTTGCCGGTAGAAGACAGTAGATCTGCTTTCGTCTCCAAGCCTCTTTTTCCACCTTTTCGTCGAATGCCTTCAACAAGACGAGCAGTGTAAATCAGTTATGTTGATAAATGAACCGTAGATTTTTCACAACAGAACATGCACGCCGCTTACTTAGAAGCCTGCTTGTTTTCCCTAAATCTTGACCCATTATTTCAAGACATTCGAAGCTGCCAAAATTCAGCAAACCGAGTCACCGTTCGACGAAAAATTAACAGGTGAACCGCATGCATCCACTGCGCATGACATTGGTTTGTTTTGGAAAAACCGCTGGAAGGCAGGTGTTCGATTCAATATCGTTCCCAGATCTCTCGCTAACGTTACCAATTTAAAAAAGACTTCTATGAACATGATGAATACCGTAAATCTTCGAATTAGCGCCCGGGGCGCTTATTTCAAATTTAGGATAAGACGGGGTGGGGGGAGCGCTTATTCGAGGGTAGACTACGAGTAGTTCCTCTTTCGCTTAGTCCGTCGTGCGTGACGCGAAAGAAAACCGCAAGAAAAAAATGACCGCGCGAAATCCTCGCCTCCAGGATTTCGCGCGGCCATTTTTGTCTCGCGGTTTTCTTTCGCGTCACGCAA